GGAAATGGTCAAAACATTCTGAGGGAAAAATGGTAAAAATCCTGAGGGAAAAAGGTCCAAAAATTCTGAGGGGAAAAGGTGAAAAACTCAGGAATAAAAGCTATGGGATGGCTTCTTCCAAGCTGAAATCTCCCGTTAGAACAGCAGGGATAAATTGGGAATTTCAGTGGGATACAACTACCTAATTAATTAAATATTTGCCATTTTTTCCCCCCCCGCCCAATTTTTCCTCCATTTCTCCAAGGGAGGAGCCCGAGAGAAGCCAAATCCCATTTTTAGGGGGATCAATTCCCTGTGCTGTTCCCAGAGTCACTCACTTCCCAGCTGGAGTTTTTGGGATGGGCAGGGCTTCTCTCCTCTGCCGTTCCAGCAGAGCCTCCACCTCGCTCTGCACATCCACCCCGTTCTTGTCATCCAGCTTGAAAACCTGAGGGGAAAAAAAAAAACAGGAATTTCAGCCAATTCCAACATCCAGGTGCTGGCCAACAAAGCATTAATTAGCCTTGATTAGGCTGCTGTTAATTTATTAATGCCATGCCCCTCACTGGCGCTCGAGCCAGCAAGATCTGACAGGAACAAGTTGTAAAATAATGTTTGAGAAAAGATCCCAAGGATGAGAATTCCAGGATTATTTCAGTACATTTCAGGCACACCTCTGGAAAAATATCCCTAATTTCGTGAGGGGAAAAATAATTTTTTTTGGTTTTATGAGAATTGCTGCAATGAAGTGGAATAATATGGAAATATGGAGCACCAAATCAGTGGTTTTCACTGTTTCCAGGGGAAAAAAAAAAGTCATGGAATGGTTTCCTCCGTGATGAAATCACCTGTTGGGACAGCAGGAATAAATTGGGAATTTCAGTGAGATACAACTGCCTGACTAATTAAAGATCTGCTTATTAATCACCCATCCTAATGAGGAAGGGAACACCTCGGCCAGCAGCACTGAAATATTCCTGGCTGGATTCTTTCCCATGATTCAAACAGATTTTTCCCAGGATGGGCTTGGGGAATAATCACCAAACCATGGAACGGTTTAGGAGCATTCCCAGAAATTCATTCCCTTTTCAGAACCAGCACCCCTGGAGCTGGGTTTTTTTTTTTTTTTTTTCCTTCTTCCAAGCCTTCCAGGAGCAGGAATGCAGGGATTTGGGGAGGATTTGGGGAGGCACTCACGAATCTCTTGGCCTGGAAGGGGCCGATGCTGTTGAAGATCATGGCCAGGCAGCGGGGCAGGAGCCCCCCATCCCCAGGAGATCCTGTCATGGTGTGGGTCTTCCCACTGCCTGTCACCCCATAGGTGAACAGGAGACCTGGGAATGCAGGGAAAAGGGAGAAATCAATGGGATTGAGGAGGGAAAAAATTAAAAAAAAAATAAATAAAAAAAAAAATTCCACCTCGAATATTCCACGCCATCCAAAGTGCTGATGGTCACAGCTGGGAATAGCCAGCATCCTCTCCAAGAGCCACAAATCAGCGCTGGAATATTCCAGACTGGATGGGAATATTCCACTATTCCTGGCATAGTGGGATGAGCTTTAATGTCCTTCCCATAGATTTGATGGTTTAGGAATTGATGCTTTTTTTTTTTTTTTTTTTTTTTTGCCATTTGTTGCTTTTTTGAGAAGTGAAATCCCATTTAGTATGAGGAGCTGAGCCACAATTCCACCCAAACTTTGGGATCATCCATTCCCATCCCAGGATTCCTATTCC